AGGGAGAGAGGGTGAGGGAGAGGGAGAACTAGCTGAATCCCTTCAAACGAATAGGATTTTTGACTGACTAGCTACTTTGGCGAACTGGTAACTTCGTAGGCCGAATTCGCTGTATACATGCATTTATATATCGAGTGTGTAGACGGCGGCGAGGTCGTCATCGTCTTACTATCCGATATAATGTAGGCTACCGAAATCAGATGGTGACAAGTGTCTGTTGGTACGATCTGTGCTTTGCCCTGTCTAAGTGGAAATCAATGTTACAAGATTGGCTCAGCCATTCAGGTGAACTGCTTGGAGTTGTCGACGAGTTGGTGCACATAGGTAGTTGTGTGAGAGTGATAGCGTAGGTGTGACGGACGAAATGTCTAACTGTAATTCTGAGGTTCGACAGTTTGTGTTTGGACACAGATGTGGTCACTTTCCATTGAGTGTCATCTGAGAAACTTCCATACCGGTGGCTGTTGTCTAGCCCTTAGACTGGACGAGGAAATCGGAGGGCTGATCAATCCATGATGTGGCGGCATGGGATGAAGGACATTTGTGTTAGGTTAGCGTCAGCTGGTAAATGAAAACTACCTCGTTGGAGGCTGAGAGATAATTGAAATCGCTGGTTTGTAACGCCATCAGATATGGCCTACAACCCGAATCGGTGGTGAACATGCTTCAGTTTTCTTCTTTCTTTCTTTTTTGAAAGTAATGTGAAGTGATAAATGTTAAATAATTTTGACAAGTATGCTTATTTGCTTTCTGGATGTTGTCGCCGTCGTTTATTCCATCCCTATTTTCTTTACGTGTTGTTGTTTTACTGTTATTTCTGTGTGGTGCATCTCTTGGTGGCCATAATGTACCGAGGCTGTGGTTTGAGTGTAGTGTATAGTTTAATGTAAACCGGCGTCTGGAATCTCATCTGATGCTCACTAGTGACTGTCTGTATACATGAAGTGACCTGAAGTTCTGGTGTAGAAGTTATGACCAGCGGTGTCCACCCAGTCTGATAAGAGGACAAGTTACTCACCGGTAACATTTGACTGACGGTGGTGACGCCATATATACGGTGAATATTCAAAGGTTTGAGTTAATAGACTGGTCATCTCATCAGGTCTCAGTGGCTGAATGCTGTACGTTTTCACGTTGTAGTCGGAACGCCATGGGTTCTATGCCTACGAAAGGACGCAAGCCGCTGAAGAGTTCCGGAGAAGGAGGACAAAGCAACTGCCCACTACTCCAGTACTGGTTTTCCAATGTTTCTCTAACTCATGTTAGCTCGTGATGAAACCAAGACTTATAGTATGGAGTAAATTAGATATCTCGATTTAGACAATAATTTTTGTTTTCAAAGGATACTATAGTGTTGAAATAACCACCCCCTGGAACTGTGTAAATTTCAAATTGGTTAGTCAACTGAGGATTTTATCGATTGATTATTATGAAAGTTGATAGATACTTTAGACTCTGGATATTTTATGTGAGGATTTGGATTAATTTTCTAGTGGAGATATTTCGTCACAAACTGGAAGACGTCATTTAGGGAGTGAGTCAATGAAAATCAAGTAGAGAGCACTGTGCAGCTGTTTGGCCATTCCGGTTTTGAGATTGTCTATTCAACAGTGCGTATCCGTGATCATCTATCTAACTGTGAATGGAATCCGGGACCTTGAGGTTATGTGGCTGAGCTTGTTGACGATTCAGTAAGTGGGTTGGGTTTGAATTCTAATTTCTTTCAGTTGGTGATACGTATAGACGTGCTACCACCAACCAATTCCATGGATGAGCATCCACTGCACCTTGACATCTCAAGATATCTAGGTAGTATTCGCCAATGAGCTGGTGTTGGAGATATCGTTACCGTGCCATATATGTATTGTGATTTGACAGGAGTGAGAGTTGATGGGGCACGGAATTCCAACCTACTGGTTGGCCTTGTAACCTGTAGGTCCAGGGTGCGAAATGTTTATGAATCCGAAAGTTGGACGAAACAAGTGTCGTGTTTGGTGCTTGATTTTCCGATGATTATCTGTAACAGGTGTCGGTGATGTCAAATGGTACAAGCCACACAAATGGAGGAAAATCCAGTTGTAAGACTGTGTATACATGTAGTGTGTGAATGGTCAGAGGAAAGAAAGAGAGGCTATACGAATTGAAATGGAAGCAGAGGTTTAGTGTATTCGAATGAATTCCGATCGCCTGTATAATGTGTTGAATTTGGACTCGTAGGGCATGGAGGAGGTTGGGTGTGAAACACGATTCATAAATAACTTCTTGAAGCTATGTGTATAGGTGTCGACTTGATTTGTTGTGGTGGCGAGATGACAATTAGTATCAGGCTACGTATCACTTTATTCAGTCCAGTCGTTTGACTAAGAGAGGGTGGTGTTCAGAAATTCGACGATGGACGTGCTTAATCGCATACCCAGTTTACCTGGCTCCCCTAGAAGTGGTTAAACTGAAAGAGGCGAAATTTGGCTGTTCGTGACTATTTCAGAGTGACTGACTTTCAGCATAGAAGTGGAACAGCAGTTGAACTTGCTGCCCACTCCATGTAAACCACACAGGTGGAGAAAAGAGTTGTAGAGAGATTGAGCAGAAATGTATGGGAGTAGGGATAGTAATACGGAGAAGAATAAGAACTTAGTGGATCTGTGAGACTACACAAAGATCGGATCGATGTAGGCCATGGAGAAGGATTAGGGGCCATTTCAGCAACAGTGTGAAGCCATTAGTATTTAACAGTCCGAGAAGCTGAACCAGTTACTCCGTCTACACCCCCTTCTAAGATGGATGTCTCTAACTGACTGTCGAAAGTTTTACCAATTGATTCCATTTTTATATTTGGAGACCCTTACCTCCTTTGCAACCTCATTACATGTGGGCTAAGATTTCTCGTCAGGTAAGGCGGTGACTCAGGATGCTTAACACGTATCCCAGCACTTTCTGGCTTTTAGTCAGTTTGTTAACTGATGTGGTGTCGATTGGTTAATTTACTCCTTTCGAATAATGTAGTTGGTCTATTTATCAGTCAGTATATTGCTTCGTTTCTTCCTTCTCAGGGTGTTCGTGCACGTACTAATCATTCTAAAGTCAATAGTTACTTTCCAGGATCAAGAGTTATGTCTACGGGTGAAGATGGTCACTTGGTGGAGAATATTTGTAAACAATTCAGAGGTGGACATACTAAATGGCGTGGTCGTAGAGGCGGTGGAGAGGGCATAAACGGAAGACACCAAAACGGTCGACCAGATGAGGCGCTTGATGGTGGGGATATCCCATCAAATGGGGTAGGTATATGCAATCGGTGTTAAGAGTTATGGTCGTGTTTATTGGTTTTCTGTTTAAATGTTCAACTCTGAGGCAATGAATAATAATAATGATTCACTTTATTCCAAAAACAGTACATGTGATACAGAATGGAATTTTCAGCATTAATCACAATATTGCATCTAATTTCCTCAAATTTTAAATAAAATTAATCACACAGAAAATTTTCCACATTTACAATAGGGGTAATGTCAAAAACACGCAGCATATAAAATGGAAATAATAATAATAATAATCATAATGATAACAGCTAAGGTAATAATTATACAAGTGAAAATTGCCGTGGACTTGTTTCACACAGTATTGTCGATGCGGTATAGAAATCCTAGCATGTTTAAAAATATTGAATATAGTGTTCTATTTGCATGATATGGTGAGGGGAAAAACAAAAATTACAGCAGTCATAGAGATAAGTTGGTGTTTTCAATTATGAAAGTAAAACAAGCAAAGAAGCAACAGGACCATAAATATAATAAAAATAATAAAAGTGAAACTTGAAGGTACATAGGGATGGATGGAGGAAATTGTTTATTTACTAGATGAAGAAAGGTTAGTTAATTGTTGCCTGACACTATTTTCATCACATAAAATACGTGCCAAGTATAGTATCATAGAATTTTTATACTCAGACGTGCGAGGATACAGTTTTCTGAAGTTACTTCTTGTTCTACCTGAGGAGATGCAAGGTGAAAGCTGAGGGTAGAGTGGATGCTCCAAGACAGACGAAATTCCTTTAGCAAATTTATTGCACGAAGGCAAGTGCCTATCGACGACGACGTTAACTATATGGTCCACTGGGACACCACTCACCCTACTGTCAGTATTCAGCATTCTAAGAATTGTGATATAGTCCTTTTTAAAAGAATGAGAGTGAACAATAAAGAAGAATAGGTAGGATGCAAGAGTTTATGAACTGTAAGAGGAGGGGTTGAGTTATACCAGAGTGCCTTAACTTCTTAATGTAAAATGTCAGGCGGAATATTTTACTGGAGATCGCTAAGACATGGGAAGACCAGGAGAGATCAGAAGAGAGAACAAGTCCAAGATACTTGATTTGTGATTTAATTCCTATATCACTGTCGTCAATCTTACAACTGTCATGAGAATCGACGACTTCTTTTAACTGCCTTTTACATAAGTTTACAAAAGTTTTATGAGTGGGCTAGTTGTTTTTGTAAGTGTTGGATAACTTGATTTCTGGCTACTCACTGATGGGAAAGGTGAAGTTCACAGTGCAAGCGTTTTGTGCACAGAAGCAGAAGGAGAAGGCGAGGGAGAAGTAGGAAAGCCTTTCCGTCATTCGTTTGACACATGGATTGAGATGTCTAGAAGGACATGTGTTACGCATGGCGAACCGTCGTTTTTCTCGTTGAGCGGTGTTAGCTAGCTGACATAGGATTAGGTTGTAAGAGAGTTTGGGGTTGTGGAATTGGTGGAAATGCTGTCATCCATGCATGAATAGTTTGACAGTGGGTTTGAGTGAGACACGTAGGGAGGCGAATACTGCCTGTTGTGGGTCCTCGAGATGCTGGAGATAATGAGTGGTATAGTTGGAAACCATTCTGAATGACACATATGCATTCGTGTTTTGTTATCCCCTGGATTCGTTGGGTATTCGATGTTACTTGTCTTTCTGGCGTGCATTTCTGTTGATTGTATTTCTTTTAGTTTATTTGTTTCATCTCTGTGTGTAATGTTCCGTTGATTGACCTTGACTGTTTCTGCAAATTTTTGAAGTACTTTTTCTATAGTCGCAGAGGCCATGTATAGATGTTCACTTTTCCTGTCAGTATTACTAGTTGATTTGAAATACTCATGCGGTACGCTGGTTACGTTGGGTGTACTGTAGTATTAGGCATGTGGGCTGTGGAATTTGGGAGCATCGCGTCGATGCAGGACATCATGTCGACACTAGTAGAGAGTTATTAATCTTTTTTCTCCCAGCATCTTGACGCCTGACGGGTCTGACATGTACTATACGGTCTTGGTGATGTGCGTATGTTTAAATAAGTCGGATCTGTCTGTTTCCACTGAAATTGCTACAGTGGGTTTCTTCGGTATGTCGGTGCACGACAATATCTGTAGAAGTTCTTTGCTTCTATGCACATAACTTTTATCATTTCAAACTGTTGTTGATGATGTGACTGAGAATCGTTCGAAGTGGGACAAATGGATTTACTGTTTGTTATCTCACATGCTCAATAAAACCTCTGTAATTATTCTTTCTCCCGTGCTCATTTCTACCGAACCCTCGGCGCCTAAATATTACTCAGCCTATTATACAGCCTTGACAGGTAAGAGGTAGATCACAGACACCTATGATCAAAGGGAATTAGCTGTATCATTTCTTTCACGTTCAATGGCTATGTATCATTATAGTAATAAAGGAGGACGGAGGGGAGTGTTGTGCAGTGCACACGTCGTTTGTTGACAGCTGGATATCACGTGTGCGCCAGAGAGGGCGTGAGTCGGCGAATGCCACACTAACCTTGTGTATCCGTTATGAGATGTCATCAGGGCTAAACCCACTGATGCTGGTGCAATATCCCAATTAAGTGAAGTGGTCGGCACGCTGCACCACTTCACTCACTATATCTAAGCCAACTAGGACTCGATGTAGTTCAGTACTGTAGCATTGATACCTCTTCAAATGACTTCATTTCGTTACCAGTAGGTTATTTGATTCCCCAACCAGTCACTTTGTTACTGCATTTCTTTTTTCATTGTATAACTCCAATAACTAACTTATTCAGCAACAAGGTGAACATCAGCCAAGCGGTAGAGGTGGAAGAGGCGAACGTCGACGTCGTCAAGTTTTTAGTGGTGAAGGTGCTTGTGAGGGTGAGGGTGACATTGGTACAAGTCGCGGTGGAGCTAGTGTTATGATTTATTGCAGTACGCCAACAAGAAGGAGAGCTGGGAAATGTATGATATCATCATCATCATCAGCAGCAGCAGCAGCCAGGTGGGCAGATCGAAGTGGTTTCTATCGATCTCATGATTTCCCATACCATCATCAATACTACCCCAACTACTTCCAGTACTATCCACAAATTTTTGTACCTATTTATTTAATTCCTATCGGTCTGTTTTGTAGTTGTGATTATCGTTACTGCTATCGTAATTATTATAACGTACGTGAACAATTCCCACAATCATCACACAATCATTATTCGCTTGGTTTTTATAATACACAAGAACAACAAGGTGGATATTATGGTGATCGATATCAGTGTAAGTGATTGAACTGATCTTGTCTGTGAGTGTCATTTCAAATTGGTAACAGCTCTCTTCACCATTTTTACCCTTTTTATTTATTTAATAATCTTATATCTCTGTATTGATTGTTATGGTCTGAACCGACAGCTGCTACCATGCCGTGGTGGTCTAGCTTGAATACCACAGTGACCCAAGAAGCTAAACTGGCTGGGACTCATGTTCCTGCAGGTCCAACCATGTCAGGAAGGTTGTTTGGAAAGCGGATAGACTAAAAGCAGTTACTATGGGGTACATCGGCTTCAGAATCTAATCGGATCAAATGGCGTATGAACCCATATTGGACACCGGAAACCATGGGAATGCAGCTCCTGACGCTGCTCCGCTGCCTTGCGAATTAGACTGTAAGTCAAAGGCTCTGGGGGTGGTCCCTTATAAAACCAACTGTTTCGGTCTGGGCGCCCGGGCAGTATCTCAGCCCTCACACATTGAACAAACTCCCATTGAAACTCATCGTGCGCTATTAACAATGATTTCAAGTAACATTATTGCCTCAAGTAACTTATGTCCTTCCTACCTTACATTTATTTTTATACATAGTTTCCTGCATTTTATCTTTGCTAACCTTGACTTCTTAACCTTCGACAGCCTTTCCTTTTTGTCGAGATTTCCAGCCCATCTGTGTCGTTTCGAGACGTTAGTGAGTAGCCCTCAAAATGGTTGTCCCCGATGCGACATCTAACACAGATATCCTGAAACCGCGTGCCTCGTTCAAGCTGGCCACCTACAATGTTCGGATGGTGATGCGAATCGGACAACAGGCAGGGTTGGTAAGAGAACTGGAAAGCCTCGCTATCGATGTCTGCTGTATTTCGGAGACCCGCATTCAAGATCCCAGTGAAGTGCTTCGATTATCCTCGCCATCTGGAAGTCCTAGTTGTGTGTACCACCTGCGCTTGTCCGCGGACCCTGTGGCATCTACATCCAACGTAGCTGGTGTGGGTGTCGCACTGAGCGCTAGAGCCGAAGCTGCACTGCTCGACTGGATTCCCATTAACAGTCGTTTATGTGCTGTGAAGCTGGGAGTTTATACGAAAGTAAGGAGTAGTAGGCCAGATAGGCGGTGTCTATTTGTTGTCTCTGCCCATGCACCGACGGATTGCAGCCCGGATGCAATGAAGGATGAGTTCTACTACCAACTGAGCGATCTCTTAAAACAGGCGGGTTGGAGGGATATCGTAGTGCTGGCTGGGGAATTGAATGCACAGGTGGGGCGTCTAAGCTCAGAGGAGAATCGTCTAGGTGGTCAATGAGGTCTACATGGCCGCAGGTCAGATAATGGGGACGGTCTTCTGCAGCTTTGCGTGGATCACAACCAGCCAGCACCAACTTCCGGAACAGCCATCGCCGTAGCGCTACCTGGCGTCCTCCCTTTGCGATTCAAGTTTGGACTCAGATTGATAATATTGATGTCAGTTTCCGGTGGCGAGGATGCATACAAGACTTTCGCTCCTTCTGGAGCACATGCCTGGACTCCGATCATGCTTTAGTGTGTGCCGAGTTCGTCTTGGAATTTGGTGGGGTTCATAAAAGGCGTCGTTTAAACGTTGATGTGAGCGAACTAGTAGCACGTGCTACTTCTTTGAAATACAAGAATGAGTTACAATCAATGCTTGCTAGCAACCCCCTAAGTAGTATAGATGAACATTGGCTTCATGTGCAAAGTGCCATGAAAAGGGCGAGTGCAGCCGCTTGCTGCTTGAAAAAATGCCCCGCTACAAACCTCTGGGTTTCTGCGAGTTCCTTGCAACTCTTGGATGAACGCCGGTCCATTCCGGTGGGCAGCAAATACAACAATAAGCTATCGGTGCTCACGCGCAAGATAAGACAGTGTTTACGTAAGGACTGCGGAACCTGGTGGTCGGAACGTGCGTCTGAGATGGAGTTAGCCGCTGCATCTGGCAACAGTCGGAAGCTGTTCCAATTCATCCGAGCCACCGGCACCAAAGAACAAGATGTCAGCGAGACGGTCTGTGAGGCAGATGGCACGCCAATTACCAGCTTGAAAAGACGCCTGGAACGCTGGACAGAGCACTTCGGGGAACAGTTTAGCTGGCCACCAGCCTTAGTATCGGCTGTCATTAGCCTCAATGCTCCTTGGTCGGTTAATACAGACCCACCCACCGAAGCTGAGGTCTGTGAGAAACTCCAAGTCTTAAACGACCCTGAGGCACCCGGCCCAGACAACCTACTCCCGGCTGTTTATTAAGATGGTGACCAGACTCTCTCAATGGCTCTAACTGGATTATTCAGGAAGGTATGAGAGATTGAGAGTGTACCATCAATGTGGATCGACTCCATTATCGTCCCCCATCTTTAAAAATGGTCGGCGTTATTCATGTGATAATCAGAGGGGAATCAGTCTGCTACCAGTCGCGTCTAAAATATTGGCTGCTGTCTTGCTTCGCAGGCTGTGCAAAATGCGTGAGGGATTGATTCGCTAAGAGCAGGCTGGGTTTCATCCAGGTCGCGGATGCATTAATCATGTGTTCACCCTTCTTCAGTTGTTGGAATACCGCCATACGTATTGCAGGCCAACGATCGTTGTGTTTCTTGATATTAGGGCACTTAATCGCACTTAATCAGTTGGTGATCAGTGTCTGTAAGTATGGTATGTACTTTGCGCCGTCTAAGTGCAAAGTACTGTTACAAGATTGGCAGGAGCCTGTACCTGCCGTCACTCTTGCAGGTGAACTGCTTGAAGTTGTTGATAAGTTTGTGTACCTGGGTAGTTGTGTGAGTGCTGGTGGAGGGAGGGGTGACGGATGAGATTTCCAACCGTATAATGAAGGCTAGGGTTGCATACATCAACTTGAGCCACCTCTGGCGCCGTCGTGATGGTAGCTTGACTGTCAAAGGTCGGGTATAGAGTGCTTCGGTGCGGGTTGTCCTACTCTCCGCCTGTGAAACCTGGCCTCTCCGAGTAGGCTGAGAATGTGTGGCGACTCTGCGTGTTCGATCATCGCTGTCTCTGCAGGATTGCTTGCGTTCGATGGCATCATCGCGTGAGTAATTCTGAGGCTCGGCAGCGTGTGTTTGAACACAGTGGAGATCACCATTCATTGAGTGTCGTCATCTGGAAACACCGGCTCCGGTGGCTTGGACATGTGCTTCGAATGTTATCCCAGAGGCCTCCGTACAGGCCTCTGTTCGCTAGCCAGCCCTGGGACGGGATGGAAAAGGCAGAGGGGTGGTCAGTCCATGATATGAGGTCGTGGGATGAAGGATGTTTGTGCTAGATTGGCATCGGTTGGTGCGTCACAACTCCCTGGTTGGGTTCCTCGAGATAGTTCGAATCGATGGCTTGAAACGCTATCAAATATGGCTAAGAATCGTAATCAATGGCGAACGTGTTGCAATTTCCTTCTTTCTTCCCTTCCCGATGACAGTTAACGAATACTGTTAGAACTTGTTAAGTATGACCGTTTTCCTTCCAGATGAAGTCCTTTGTCCGTTCTCTACTTATATTTCTTCTTTTGATCTATGTTGTTTTATTATTATTGTGTGGTGCATCTTTCTTGGTGCCATACTGTACGAAGTTTTTTCTGCGTTTAAATAAATAATAAATATGACAAGGACAGGGTTAAGCCTCCAAACACCAAAGTCATTGGAACTCAGCAGTCACATGAAAAAGGCGTATTTTAGGTAAAAAATACATATGTTAATGAAAATAATGCATAATAAAGGCATGAAGTTGTTAAACAGGGTACTTTTCTCTCACACATGTGTCGGAGTGTCATCCTATATCTGAATGCATCTAGATTGTTGTAGATGACGTCCTTTTGAAATCCACTAACTTCTGTAATCCTATTCTTCAGTCTTCCTCGATGTTCTTTAAAGTGAATAGATGTAGGTGCGTGCCTGTAGTGAGGTCCACAAAACTAACGGAATGGTCGACTCTGTGGTGAATGTAACCGGGGGTTGGGGCAATGCATTATACCCTCACCATTCATCTGTGTGTGTGTGTGTCCTGATTGCCCACAAACTTTCATCGCCTCCTCATACGCTCTCCGCCATGTCTCCAGATATCAGGGACAGGTGATGAATCATTCCTATTGCAGGCATGTATTTGCAGTTGATTCGATAAACAAAGCTTCTTTTATCAATCTCTCCCTATACCCTATGACATTGGATTTTAAAACTGTCATCCTATCCCATCCTATTGTAGATAATACTGTTACACTCACTGTGTGATATATCTAATAAACAAACTAATATGGAATTACTTACTACCACAGTGCCCAAGTTTTACACATATATTAACTACTGATTGATCTAGATGAGTAGTTGGATACCACACTCATATCCACGAGTATGTGAGAATAGTAGTGTTCAGAAATCGGTTGTATTTGGACTGATTTGGCTCTTTCTGTCTGTCTTTGAGTTGACTCGAACTGGTTGACTTGAACCGACTGGCTGATGGTTTCGGCGTCACACTGGCGGAATGACTGGCTTGTGGTATGTTTACATCACTTTGATTTGGCTGATTGCCTAGCAGCCGCACTACTAGTGGTCGTTGTGTGTGTGTGTGTGGCTGTAGTATAAAAATACTCATCGCAGTCAATCAGTAGTATATAGTTTAATGCATTTATGCTTGCTTTGTTGATTAACATTTATGGTATCTCATGCATTTTGATGTGAATAATTTCGGTTCCTGAAGGAGACTGACTGTATGGTGAAATTTTATCACTTTGAACAACTGTGTGAATTTTTAATGCGTTGTATTCGAACTGTGATGATGAATTAGTCTGTTTATTTCGCGTAGACGTGGAGAAAAGGCAGGGCGCGAGGAGACCATCTTTTGTTTCATACTTTATTATTATTACTATTACTATTGTTATGATTAATCCTCCAGATAACCACTGGAAAACGGTGAATGTTTCTGTCTGTGATCTGACTCACAATTTTTCTTTTCCCCTTTTCTCCTATTCTAGACGGTGGAGTTTATTGTGATAATCAAAATTATGGTGATATATCATCAGATTGTAAAGAAAATTATGATCCTACGAGTAATAACCAAGTGGAAATTGATTTATCATCGTCTCTGAAGCATATCCATGTCAATGAGGACACGACTACTCCTCCTCCTCCTCCTACTACTACTACTAATAATAATACTACTACTATAATAATAATATCAACAATGACGATAACAACAACAAGAACAACAACAACGATTACTACTACTACTATTGCCAATATAGATCATCAAAAAGGTCTTGATGTGACATAATTGTGCCTACAAGGTCAGTAAACTATCGTTAGACTTGTAGTAGCGTCTACTTGTAGTTCTTTCAAAATATTTCAACCAGTGATCAACGATGCATCGTTTTTGTTGCATTTCATTTCATTGCTCATCGACACATACACATAAGATACAGACGTCAAGGTTTCTTGTTGTGTTATATTTTCTTTTGGCGAGGTATTTTCATTTCTGATATTAAAAAATTTATTATTACTACTATTATTATTATTATTCCTATTTTGTTTAATAAGAGTTTGTTTTTGTCTATTCATTTTTTGTTAATATCGTTGAAATGGTTCACCAGACAATTCATCAATCATGTGTTTCTCTTTCTACGTAAGAAGACTTTTTGTCAATAACGACGAAAATCCGAACACTGGATACACGATAGATTTTGTATTCCGGTAGTTATCATGAGTTCTGTAAATCTTGTTGACAGGGCACTAAACCGAGTGAGTGATGTGTATCACTCGTACGTACAATTGTGTTTATTTACATATTCGTTATTGACATTGATATTTTTGTACACCTTGTTCTTTTTCTGACAATCTTCATGGAGAAAAAATTGCGTTCACGTTTTGGAATTCTCTTGTGTTCTTCTGTTCTGTTCCATTTGCATCGATGTTTCTCAATGGTATGGGAAGTTTGGGTTTGGGTCCTCGCCGACGCACTCTTAAATCTGACTGAATGAGTTGTAAGCCGAAGAAAGAGGGAAGGTTGGATGATAGGAGTATAGCTTGAATTCCTATTTCCCGTTGAAGGTGGAAGACATGAAAAGACTAGCTGTGTTTGATCAAAGGTGTCTGCAATCTATCCCACATCCCCCTCCCTGCTAGGCAGTATAATAGGGTGAGTAATATTGAGGTTAGGCGTCGAGTGTTAAGTAGTTATAGGTAAAAGTCAATTGATGAAGCTGTGTCGATCGAGACAGCTAAGACAATGCGTGATACGTGTACCTAACTATCGCCTTCCACCAGGAGCAAGTTTAGCTGAAATACGGTCATATTGGAAGATAGCTAGTGGCAATCAAACGAAAACATGGCTTCATCAGCCAATCCAATTCATAACACTTAATTTAGGCCAGCCAGACACGTAGAGAGGTGTAGACTAGCTTCCTGACCGGAGTCCTCGGGATAGTAATAACCAATGCAGGCTGGAGACAGGTAATTGGTGATATGGCTGAAAATCGTTCTCAGTGGTGGGTCGGATGCTGTCACTCTGCGTGATTTGTCATATGCGATAAGCTATGTTGTTCTTCCATACTATTACTATTCTTTCTCACTGACACTTCTGTTTATTATCTCTCTCTCTCCCTCTTTTGAATCTGTCTTTACTTACCTTGTTCTCTTGCTTCGTGTTCTGCATGGAGGGAGAGTGGCAATTCGAACTGTTGGATATCTGTGCAAAGTTATATGCTAAAAGCAGTCAGCTAGTCTGTATTCCTGGCACTCTAGAAGCAGTGCTAGATCTACCGAAAGAAGTTCTGGTCCCAAATAGATAGCCACCGAGATTCATCGACACACGCTTTCATTTTCAGACATTTTTAATGAGCCACACATTTATTGTACCGGAAGGAAAGTGACACCATCCGGGCCTATCGGAACGTCGATAGGTGAAGAGGGAGGAGGAGGTCGAAACCAGCCACTCCTCAATGGTTGAAAGTTGAGCACCTAGACCAATAAGAAGTAACAGCGCTTCAGTAAATCACAGAGATCTGCTCCGTTTATAAATCTTCAGGTGTTGGTGGTTTGTGGATTTCTAACTGATTTCATTTTGGATTTCCGCATCGCCAACCGAAATCAGTTAGACAGATGTGGATGTACTTACTACTATCTTTCATTTAGATTTATCTGTCAGTTGCCAGTTGAACGATACAATAAATAACTTGTTAGGTATCGTTTCACACAGAAACTCGAAGCGCCATAAGTGGAAACCAGCATGTTGGCTGAATAGGTTGACAGAGAAGACAGGAGTTCACAAGCGAACACAGAGAAGACAAAGGTGATGAAGATACCCGACTGCCAACAACAACGACAAGAACCAGTCCCTACCAACGAGAGAAGTCACTTCTTTGACATACTCACGTTGGCACCGTCGATTGAACTACAAGCTGACGGGTATAAGTGAGGATACCAAAGGCAGGATCGAAAACGATGAACACAACCTCACTGGTCTGAGATCAGCGTGGTGTTAGGAACAATGTCAAATCAGTGCTCAAGCGTGGTTCAAACAAACACTCACGTCACGAAAAGTATGTCTCACAGACTACTGCAGTTTTTGTGAACGGCTGCCTTCGCTGTCCCGATACTGAAGATCAGACAGTCGACCAGCAAGGAAAAGCAACAATGAACTCTGTCAGGCAATGAACAAACCAAGAATCTATCGCCTACTCAACAAATATTGCAGAAGGAAACAGATAGAATAGACCAGGCTGAACAGACCGTTGAATGACACCACACACCAGGTCATAGATCAAGTGGAACTCGAATGAGAAGTGATGAGTTGGGCGTCAGTCCGAGGGTGATACGAAGTAGTATGCAGGTGTGCCCACACCCTTCCCGTTACAAAGTGATCAAAAGCACTGACATATGACAATGGCTAGTAGTGACAGCATAATAAAAGCAAGCACTTCCTTGTGATAACCAACTCTTACAAGAAAAGGTGTTAAGTGAGAGACTCCAATGACTGATTGTTCGCCATCTTCAAGACCGTAGCCTTCCTATCAATAGCCTAACCTTATGCCTCAGACTAATATTCAGACATAAGTACGCTTATGTGAAAGGGTTTACATTTGACCAATACATCACCTTCCAAGAGTTGAAATAGCCTGCTTCTCTCGAGTTTCCTGGTCCTGGGATTCTCCAAGGCTACAGAAAAAAATATGTACTCTACACACGCAATGTATTTAATAGATACTTGGAGCAACCAGCATATACGGACTTATTCTCTGTTATCAGGAAATAAATCCTCTCAGTCCAGGCATTGGATGAATTAAGTGCATGCATCCCAGCTAGCTTTTCAGAGGCACGTGAATGTTTCGTGTGGATTACAGGCTTTTTATGAGTGAAGCCTTGCATCTGATGTGCAGATTATGATGCTATGATTACTATCTGGGAATGGGTGACTGATGTGAATGGTGGATAGTGTGATGTCTTCAAAAACACAAATTCCAGTATGTTGTGAATTCGGGTGGTATTTTGAGCACGCTGTGTTCACCTAGATAGCTCCACTGCGTATAAGACTTTGCTGTAGTGGAGATCAGCACTGTTTGGTTCCCATGAGTCTTAAGACATGCTAAAATCACCTCAAGTGATCTTGTGGGTTAAGCGTAATTTCGGAGTGTAGTGGAAAGCTTCAGTTATTTCATTTAGCAGTCCACTGTCGTGGTTTGGTGGGCGAAAGATGCAACCTAATAACGGAATTTGTTGTTTAGTGATGTGAAGTGTCAGCCACAATGTATCACACATATTCACCTTTAGGCCATAGTAGTGTACAGATTTTCAGTCAGACTTAACACCGATAATGCATCCCTCACCACCTCTTTTCGCTTAGTTCACTTGTACTCCAAGCCTCAATAGTCATTAGTTCTGTGGGTTGGCTTATAAATCGTGGGGACTGGATGGGTGTCATTTTGTTTACAGCTGATCTGGCATCATTGGGAATTATGTTAAGATTAGCTGGGTCATGTTTTCAGAATTTCGCCATGTCCTGAAGTGGCTGATGGTGAGATTTAGTCATATTGTTCTCAGATAACAATGTGATGTCCACAGAAGCTCAAGTAAAGCAAGAGGTGAGGAGAGGGTCAGCAGTACTCGCGTGTTCCAGTAAGTCTCAGCGTGGGCAAGATTCATTGTCAGGAGAGAGAGAAATAGTGATTTTGTTAAATAAAATGAATAATTTTTGCTGAGGAAGAGAATTGTCTCCGTCATGTACGGGGACTTTCGGGCAGCAATTAAGCGTCTCTATATCAGCTGCCCCGTCTGTGTTGGGGATTGATACCTTTTGAGAGTGGTGAGCAGTTTCGATATGTTGGTGGTTGCATTGTAAACCCGAAAAAAAGCAGGCAATACCGGTACAGCAAAGCTCCAGATAGCTCGATGGGCATTCACGTTAGATGGGGGCATTTAACTAGGCGGGTATGGCCTACCAAGCAGACTAAACCGGTTCGAATTATTAGGCCTAACGTCATTACTGTTCGATGCTCTATACTCAGGTCTCTCAATCTTTCATTTGTGATGGTACCACAGTCCACCTTTCTAGACAGACGCCTTTGAAGAATTTCGGGTCTTATTATACAGTTTTTATGCCTGTCAGTCTTAAGAATATTTGTCTTTGATGAGAGGTTTGGGAGCAAGGTATGTGTCAATGTAGTTGAAGATTGAACGATCAATTCATGGTTGTTTGGTCAAACCCAACTCTATATTTTTCGCGGGAGTCATCAATCCAACAGTCATCGTCTCATCGTTCGCTGTTCAGTGGAAGATAGAAAACCATGAGAAGTATTATCGTGATTTGTTGTTATAACATTTATTCTTAGACCTTGTGTGTAATAATCTTATTGTTGGTTACATATTGGCGCAAAAATAAAGGATTCTCGAGTCGCCAATCTGTGTCCTGGTTTCTTGCGTTGGTTATTACGAATTGTTTCTGAAAGTCTTCCAGGCACAGCGTGAGGTCCAGCGTAGTAAGAGCTGGACATTGACAGTTTATGAGAGTTGGCTGAGAGCATGAATCTCTGAATTACTGTGAAGCGCTGCCCGCTTATTTTTCACTGGCTGTGTGGGCTAAGCGATACCCACATTCTTTAAACTCATGAGGTCAGGACTACTTGGGTGTGACATACTGTGGCGTGTCAGTTGGTGTGAGAATCGTTAGCAGAAGGGTCTAGGTCTACAGCCAATCTCTTTTCTACTGTAGCGCCATTCACCGAACTATTTTTAATCGTATTATGCTTAAGAAAATTCGTTTCCATGTATGATGTGCTTAGTTTAAGCAGATCCAGGCGTTTGTGTTCTGCCTCCACAAACGTGTGATTGCTGAGAGGTGGCGTAGAAGAATTAGGCATTACGGATTTAACGCCAATCATAGATAGCATTCTTTGGATCGGCGTTCTGTCACGAGCTAACTTAATCACATGAAAACGCACATCTTTGACTAGTGCTTGCTTAGTGCAAAAATGAAAAATAAATAAATGTCAGCAATAAATCAGATTTCAACACAAGAGTGTGAGACTTGTTTATCTGAGACTTTATAAGTCGTTGGAGACTGTTCATAGAGGATGCATTCAGAAAGGTACTTTAAGGCTTGTTCACCTGTGCATCAACAGAGATATTTTAAACAGTGGTCTCCTTGGATAATCCCAATTCAGGCATTAGTGAAAACAAAACACGTAGATCAGCGAAGAGAGTCTTTTCGGCGAATTCATATTCTTAGCTGTACAATCGCGAATATACATATGTGTTATTTTGTATGTATGTGTACATTAAGTTTGTCAAACAAAATTACAATTGTTTATGGTTATTTCAACTAAACAGGTGAAGATTGGTAATACAAGTCAAGTAAATTAGGCATTAATGAAATT